TCAAAGTAATAGCTGATGGGTTGTCTGCTATTGGGACCTGCACATCAAAACAAGAGATGTCCTCCACCCAATAGTATTCATTGCATTGCCATATATCCATAACAGTGTAGTGTTAGGCTGCCATGTCTTGAACAAATAGTTGGATCTCTGGCTGCATAACATTATATAGGTTTATATTATAAATATACATACATTTAATATAATTGTGATATTTTACTAATATATGCTACCTAAAAGCAGAGAATCTTTTATAATAGAGCTGTAGCCTTTTTGTTTCAATTTTAGTATAAAAAAACACAACAAAGCAAAATCTGTCACAATCTGTGACACTGTAATGAAGCCCTTTACCCTTAAAACATTTTTCATTATCTATAGTGTGTATTTCCTGATCCCTCAGACTATACAATATGTGTTTGTATGAAATTAATGTATAAGCATGTGTATACATTCTGTATAATTGTGTGCGTGTGTGTCTGAGTAAGTGTAGTGAGGGCATATCTGTGGGTCAGTACTGGGATGAAGTATAATCCAGTCATTAATTAAATGAGAGAACAGGGGTGACTGCGTAGCTGGAAGGCAGGAGGAGCCGTGAAGGAAGTCGGGGCTTAAAACGCCGTGAGTCACAGCTGTCTGCTTAGAAACGCTCACTGTTAAGTCAGAGGTCTTAACAGCTCCCCCGACCTACAAACCAGCAACACACACACACACACACACACGTCAAATCTTGATACTGAAGCTTTTATGTCTAATGCTCTACGCAGAGACAGACAAACAGGCACAGACACCAGATGGAGTCACAACAGTATTTGATTAAGAAGAGGAATTAACATGATTGAATTTTCTGGTTCTCTGTTGAGGCTCGACTGAGGAAGAGGGTTCACTTGAGGTTTTCAGTAGTTTGGAAGTCATTCCTCCTAAAATTTTGCAGTTGCAGTACAGTGCAGATCACAGAGTCACAGTGCGAGGTGATACATCACACTGCTAACTGCTAAAATCTAAATAAGAGGGGTGTTTCCTTTCGTAGGGCACTAATTGGTGAAGTTTTAGCTTGTCACTCCAGATATAAATTCATTCCTGGCCCTAATTTGTTTCCACTCATGTTACCCAAGGGTCACATTATTCGACAGCATGACATGTTCTTTCATTTTCATGTTGATGATACACAACCCTGTCGGGTTTTTTCATAATTGTCTTCTTGACGTCAATTGCTCTAGTTCTCCAGTTAAAGGCAGACATTTGAATCATAGGCGCTGACCCCATGTGTTTATTCATACTCTACACTGACTCTTGCTTCCATTTTAACAAGCACATCAGAGAAGTCATTGTGCTTGCTTTTTTTCATCGTATTGCTAAGGTCAGCCCTGTAATTTCAAGACCGTTTTTCATGCCTTTGTCACATCCTGTTTGTTACATCCTGCATAGTAGTCGTTTTCACAGTATGTCATCCACATCTTGACCAATATGCTGCTGCCAGACTCCTAGCTTAAATTGCATTCATTGTCTGTACACTGGTTCACATTACATTTTGGTACTGATTGTAAATGGTTGGTATTGATTGAAATTACTGCTATGGCTTGCATGTCAGAGCGCCAACATTTTGACCTGTCATAGTCACAGAGCTAAAGAACAACATTAACAACGTGTTGGCTTGTGCATGCTGGTGCACTCGAGCAGCACCATTGTTAATGTTATTAGCAACATCTGTGCTTTTCCTGTGGTGAGGCTGAATCCATCAGTATTCACTCAGTCCATTAGTCACTTTTTAATCTTCTCAGCTTCTCAGTATTTTATTGTTCTGTTTAATTTAAACTATTTATTTATAGTTTATTGTTGGCTTTCTTTTTGTTAAATGCTTAAAGCTTTTTTTAATAAACAGACACAAAAAATACTCTCAATTAAGCTCAATTAAGAAAGCTGATTTGATATTTTAAACTAATTTTGCACATTGTACAACTTGTTGATAACTACTCATGTTGTCTAAGTGTGATTAAAACTTCTGAACAATATGGTACACAACAGACAATATGAGTCACTATAGCCATCAATATCTGAATATATAAGAAAATGCAAACTTCTCTAAAAGAAAATAAATAAAATATATATAAATCAGTTTATTTTCATTTTGCAAGTATAACGTTAATTTTTAATGACATGAAAATTAGTTCAGTAAAACTTTTCTTTTAAACTTGCATCAATACAGACAGGTGTACAAGCCTAAATTATTACAAACTAAACACAGAAAGCAGAGAGAATAATCATAACAAACCAATAACATAAATTAAAGTATACCAAGAAGCACAAAAATTTAGGAAAATCTGTAAAGCGGATGCAGCCAGTTGGTCTTAGTTTTGAGATTAAATCCTTATTTTGAACACTATATTTGACAGATTTTTTTTACCCTTTAAAAACACCCATGGATATTAAATACAAAGTTTAAACAATTGTTAAATCCAACAGCTATTTTAAAAAATCTTTTAATATTGCTGCTGAAATTAAATGCTCTGTCAACTACTGTTACTTACGGTAGGGATACACAAATTTGTTTCTGCTCCTTGTGACGGCATCTTAGTTTGTGGAGGATCGTTTTCTCATTAATTGTATTCATCTTGTCCGTTTCCATTATTTTGGCAATTTAATATCTTGTGAAATACATGCTCCCTGACAGCTTGACATTTTCTGTCAATGCAGTTTATGCCGCTTAAGCTTTCTGTGGAGTGCTATCTTTTTTAGATGAACGTTATTATCGAACCATTTTTTGCTGACTCTTCCACTTTACTCTCAATCTGCCATGGCAACAGGCCAACTCCCCGAAGCAAAAATCTATGATATTTACTTTGAAAAGCGACCCTTTCCCTCATGAAGTATAGGCCAAAAGATTAGACTTCATTTCATCCATACACCAGAACGCGGTGAAATTATAGTGTTCCCTATGGCAGGGCTGGCAAAAAGCAAACTAAGTGGCAGGAAAGAAAGTGTGTGTGTGTGTGTGGTACACATTTGCTGACACAGTCATTACCATTTACATATACATTGGCACATCACATCCCTCTTCATCCTCATCCCCCCCCCCCATTTGCTCTCTCTATCTTTCCTCCACTACATAAGTCGTTTTCCTGTAAATGTAATCCAAAAAAAATGAATTTGCCACAACAGATGGAGCAGAAAATGGATTTGCATCCAACCCCAAACTGTTAAGTGGAAGTACCTTTTCCTGCTCCCCACCACTAAGTCGAGGTTCTGGTATTTTCAAACCAGATTTTTCTCTCTTTGGTCCCTTCTAGGACCTTATTTGCTCAGTTTGGGTGAATGAATGTGTATGTGCGGGCAGGATTAAGGCTGTGCTTATTGCTCCTTCTTCCATACCACTCAGTGACATACGTACAAACCACATCCCACAGCCGTATTGGGGACCTTTTCATTTTGATAACTCCTCAAAGGGGCAAATTCGAGGGCCGGGAATCTTGAAAATTGGTTGGGGATCAAACATTGAAGCCCACTGTGTTTGGCAGAATCATTATTTTGCCAAGAAAGGGATTTGAAAAAGTGGAATAGGGTTAAAAGGAAATCAGAGAGAGAAAATAAGTGGCTATAAGACTGGATATGAAGACGAGAGGAACAGAAGTGGAAAGAAGCCAGTGGCGAGAGGGAACTTTGTCTTTGTGTTTGTCAGTGGGGTTTGAGCATGCAAGCAGAATTCCTAAAGCTAGGTAGCTTTTTGTTTCCGCTGTGTCCCCACTATGTTCTGAGAGATATCAGCCAACACAGGGTCAGAGCACTGCAGCTTTTTGTTCCCTGTGCAAGGAGATTTCCCAAATCCCTGAAATGAACACTTGTGCAGGGGATGAACTACACAGATGACTCAAGGCTCACAACCACATCTACAAACAGAAACATACACGCGTTAGGCAAACACAGTACACCCAGTGTGTATGGTAGAACACTCTGTGAGCACGACAAATTTCATCTTTTGTTGACACATATCAGAAATTATTTTTCTATTAACTACACCCCAGGAGCTGTATGCTGTGTTTTCTTGTGAGTAGCTCATGCCGACAAAGATCACTGTGTCCAGAAATGGGATTCAGACTAAAATTTGAAGTGATAACCATGCTGTAAAGAAAATATCAGCAGTGTGTATTTTAAATTTTTACTTAATTTACTACACTTTAATTCATTCTCAACTATCTGAGCTATTTGGTAGCTGCGTTTGAGAAAAATGACTGGGGACGGGGGGAAGAAACAAACAGCAACATAATAAGATTTTACCAGCAAAAAAAAAAGTCATTATTGGAAATGTTTTCCCAAGCTCGTGTTTTTCCTTGTTTTGTTCGTCCCTAGTGTTGACTTGAAATTAAACGCAGGCCTCCATATTAAGCACCCAGAGTCCTCAATGTCTGTGCATTCATTGATGAGCCACATGCTGAGCAAAATATTCACCCTCTGCTGGGGAACGGACATGTTTGAAGCCCATTATATTCTTCTTTAGAACTCACGCAGTTCGCCAAGATGTCCGACTGATACACCAACTACTGTCCTCAAAATTGTCTAAATAATGTGTTTAAAAGTTCTGGCTCTTCTAATTCTCACTTGGTGTGTATCTCTCGCCCTCTGTCTCTGACTGTTTTCACACTGTTTTTGTTTGTCTTTCTTAGTTATAAGTTGCTCCTGACGCACTAAATTACATTGTGTATATAGTAGATTGAAAGTGTTCCCTTCATTTTTGGCACAAAAGGAGAATAAATAAGTTTTGATGACACATTCTCACAAATCATGAAGAAATCCTTTAGTATGGTTCCCTACTAAAAATAGGAAATATTGTCTAGAACACTACAATAGCTATGTTCCATTGTTTACTGTGAAAGTAAAACACATCATTTAAACCTCTCTTTCCTTGCATTTTTAGGGGAGATTTGTGCCTTTAAGATCTACGGTCAGGATGCTCCATTCGAGGCAGTGGTGTTGAATCGCACATCGGGAGAAGGAGTCCTGAGGGCCAGTAGCCCTGTGGACTGTGAGAGCCAGAAGGAGTATACCTTCATAATCCAGGCCTACGACTGTGGGGCCGGACCCAGCGGGGCCGACTGGAAGAAATCACACAAGTGAGTCAAACAGTGTCTTTTCATGTGTTGTGGGTGTACCTAATTTGACTGTCAATAAGAAAGATCTAGTCAAGCATGGTTTTGTAAAGTAGTAAAAAGTTAGAAATAAGAAGGATATGCCAACAACTTTAACATTGCTTCCTTATTAATACAAAATGTTTTAAAACATACATACAAACAACATAAATGATTCAATTATTAAGTATTTAAGTATTCAAGGAGATATTTCTCAAATGTTCTATTGCACAAGAAACAAATTACGATATGAACATTTTAAACCGGTATTCCGGTTCATCCGGTGTACTGCTCAGCACTAGTGTCCTCATTCTTATAATATAAATATACTGGAACAATATCTGGTTTCCATGCTAGTGTTTTATTTCCATTTTAAAAAGTTTACAATGAGTATTCTTTTCAACAACCCACTTGGGGTCTTGCCTAGAAGTGAGACTGACAGGAAAATCACAACTAACTTTGAAGTTAAAGAAAGAATTACCATGTATTCATGCGTTTACAAAGTAACAGGAATATGTAACAGTGTAATAAAAAATTTATAAACTTTCCCTATAACAAATCCTTCCTTTCTGAAGCTTAAAATGTTCAATTTGTGTTAAGACAATATCAGAAAAGGGGTCTTGTAACTGTTGAACTTTGTAGTTTGTTGTCAGCAAATAACTTTTATCTGTCAGTCAGTCAGTTTGTGACCACCTTTCTTTCAGTCAGGCTGTTTGGCATATGTTCTCTAAAGCTTTACACATTTTGTCACTTCACCAACACGTCAGCCACTGGCTATCTGACATGTTTATATCTCTGAAGCTTTTTGCCTAAAAGCTCAGTTTTGAAAAAGGTGATTGTCAGATCCTGCATTAAAACTGTCACATACTGCTAATTATTATTTATCTTAGCCTGACTCACTTGTTTAGCTGTCAAAGTAAATCTGATTTAAAGTGGGAGGATGACATGACAGAAACAAATATTAACACCAGAATTTAAATCAAAGTTACAAAAGCAGCTACACAAATGAGTCATATTGAGTTCTAAAAAAAAACATATACTGACAATATGTGAAAAACAGAGGGAAACTTTCTCAGCAAAGAGGAGCAATGGTCAGAATTTGAGCCTCAGAAATACAACAGGATATTTGCTCAACATTACTAGAAAATACAGCTGTAAAATGACCAGAGTTGAATTAACACCTATCTGACAGTGTAAATTAAAACTTAAAATTGTAATTACAAAACAACACACTACTGTGCTAGATTGCATTATATTGATGTTCTTGGTGTATTTCCTACCCACTTTATACAGATAAATATTTAAATGGATGAAATCCAATTTACAAAAATGTAATGTGAAGCTTGCTCATGTTTTTATATAATTTTCAAACACCACTCAAATAAACAAGAGGAAGTCAAGTCATTTGTCAAGCTGTGGTTTCAAGAACCTGCAAGATAGTGATGGGATGAGTGGGATGGAGTGGGCATTAGAAATTGTGTTTTCTGAATGCTGTTTGTTTGTGATTTAGGATCCCCATTACCTTGTTGTTGCACTTGAGGCACTTTTCTTGGCGTCCATACATAGATCTTGCCTTTGCTGTTTCTGTCTTCTCTTCTTTCCTTTTTTAATTTTGTCTCTGTATGGCAGCAGTGACAGCTGAGACTTGCAGTTCGGTTCTCAGGATATGTCCCCCTAATGGCCCATCAATAGTGTGTGTGTGTGTGTGTGTGTGTGTGGTAGTGCTATGTGAATGAGATTGACATGCAGGCAGACTGGCGTGGACAGCAGCAAATCAAACCCTGTGGTCCTTCAGACAGAGACAAGGAGCTGCTAAAATAAGCTGCTGCAGGATTAGTACTAAAGGAGAAGAGAGAAATTTATCAGCTCAGGGATCTGTGATGAATTTCACCAGTGGATGATGAATGACACCGTGTGTATGTTTGTGTGTGTGTGTGTGTGTGTGTGTGTGTGTATGACATTATCACTGCATGACATTCTAAATAGGCCTCATTAAGCTAATGTCATTAATTAGCCAGATGTGCTTCTTCAGATGCACTGTGAGCTGTTGTCAGTGAAGGTCACTGGTGAAGAAAACTTCATCATACATTTGAATTATTGCTTCATTTATATACTTACTGCACAAATGTTATCGGAGTTCCTACTTATTATCTTTAGCAGCCCCTTTCCGGTAGATGCTATTGTGTGTTTGTGTATCAGACAGAAGAGGGAAGGAGATATTGAAAGAAAGGTAGAGAAAAATTAAATACCTTGCAACATGAAAACTTGACTTTTCAAGATCTGCTGTGGACAAGCCTGTTAAATAAAACTTCAATGGGCATAGATAGTATGGGAACCAATTTCATATAAGTAATAAATAAGACCTTACCTGTATGTGTGATCCCTTTTAATCAACTCTTCTCTATCCTGTTTCTCAGGATAAATCTGTAAGCATAGGAGCTGTTTTTCTCTCACTCTCCTCTGCCTTCAACTAACCACCGTTCTTAAAATAAACAGTGAAATACTTCAGGTCTTAATTAATTTTAATCATCTCTAATTACTTTTTTCCTTCTCTCCTCTCTCCCTTCCTCCATCCATCTCTTCTTTCCCCATCCTTTCTTTTCTTTTTCTCCATCAATCAATTCCACTCCACTTTCTTTGCTTCTTTTCCCTCCCTTGCTTCCTGCTCTGTTCACTCCCTCCTTGCTCCCTTTTTCTTTTATTCCTTCCTCCATTCAGGGCGGTGGTTCACATCCAGGTGGATGACGTCAACGAGTTCTGTCCCGTGTTTCGGGAGCCACTGTACAAAGCGTCTGTGACAGAAGGCAAGATCTACGACAGCATTTTGCAGGTATTTAGCTGTTATATTTTAAATTACATATTATTATTATTAGCTCTATTACATTTTGTATTATTTTATAATTGTTAGAATAAACCTTACAGATAAGAATGCACTTTAAGATGGTTTAACCATGCCAAAAATGGTTAAATCATGCAGTCAAAACTGTGGGATATTGTTATTGTCTACAGTATAGGCTTTTGGGTGTTGTTGGCAGCTGTTGGGATGAAACTGGATTTTGTGATGTTGCAGGTGGAAGCTTGGGACCAAGACTGTTCACCACAGTACAGCCAGATCTGCAACTATGAAATTGTCACTGCAGGGACGCCATTTGCCATAGACCGCAATGGTAAGTGTGTGTGCATTTATGTGTGTGTTTGAATCGGGCTGAGTGAGAGACGGGGCAGTAGTTATAATTGCTGATGTGATTAGGAGTGATGTATGTGTCTGAGAGGGGGGGAACTACAATCGCACAGTGAGGGACAGTTGCCTGGAGACTTTATATGTTAGGGGATATAGCCAGTTAGTGGGGAAAATGTACAGTAGGTCATGAGCACTTGACCATGAAATTTTTTACATAAAATAAAGCTAAACCGTAGACAAAAACGTACTAAACTGTACTATAATTTTTACCAAAATAATTTTCCTTGTTCTTAACCAAAATAACTGACCATAACCCGATTCACAATAATTTGACCTAATGTTAACCAGAAACAAATAGACCCAAAATAGTTGGTGAATAAAGAAATGTACTGTTTAGTATCCTTTCATAGGTTCATAGGTTCACATGAAACCAATTAATTTATTTTATTTCTGCTAATGTTGAATTTTACTTACATTTTTAATTAGTTTTTGTCTCACAACAATAAAAGTACTACATTAATATACTCCCTTTTTCTCTTTGCCTTTGCCAATTTGTCAGAAAACAAAACAAAACTGTAACAGTGACTAAATGGACCTTTTTCAACTGCTCCTTCTAAGGTGGAGAATGAACTTCTGAACTTCTGCTTTTAACCTTACTTGAGACTTGTGGTACATTTTTAATCCACTAATAATAGCATTCCTGCTCTTGCCTCAGTCGCACACAAACAGCATGCCAAATGTCTTGAAAGCAAAAAGCCATTCTGAAGCTAAATTTGCATATGTTCTTTCTATGATCTCAACCAGCTGAACTTCCCATGAACATGAACAGGTCTCGACTAAAGATAGACATGAAACAGGCCAGCGTACGCAGACTGAACCTGCAGATGAATCGTGGAGCAGACATTGAATAGAAACCAACGTTGTGTAAAGAAATAATATGACTGAGGAAAGTCACATTCACTTGTTTGTAAGTGGTGGAAGATTTTGTTAATCCACAAACCGCAATAAACCTTTATTTTTTGTCTGTATGTATTGTACAGTAGGCACTGCACCAGTTGCATTTTTATGGATGTACACCAAACTACTCTGAAAAGCAAGCAGACAACAGTGGATGATTCCTCTTTTTATTGCAATAATGTTGTGATCCGTTAGGTAGGTTTTTCATCAGTGCGTAGCTCAAAAGTTACTTGACAAAGATCCGCCTTACTCTGACAGCCTCATGTTTTTCTTTTTTTTTCTTTTGTTCATTTGTGGCTTTATAACAGTCCTAGTTCACTGGTGGAGGGTATTTTATTTCTGAATGAGAGCTATTCTGAGCATATCTGCCTATATAAAATTTCAGCTTTGGGATTTGCGCTGCCTTCTCCCTGAGCTTCCACATCTACACTGTGCTGATCTGAGTGCAGCGTAATCCAAACTGAAGGGAGACCGGAGGGCTTTGTGTGTGCGTGTATATGTGTGTGTTGAATTCTGCCAAAAGATCAGACAGAAGAACACATTGCTTTCTTTACTGTATCTCTTTCTTTCTTTCAGGGTCATATTTATTATTTTGTCTCATTGCTTTTTGAGTGTAACTTTGATCTCCTCCCAGGCACAATATTATTGTTTGGGAGAAAGTTGAAGACACCATGCATTGTTTAGACCTACTTTATAGAACACTGTAATTTAGTACACTGAAGGAAGATAAATTATAGAAGTAAATGGGCTGTACTGCAGTATGTATCTGGAAACCAGATATCAAGTAAATTGAGCATCTAAAACAGACAGTGAATTAGGAATATTAAAAATAAAGAGATAATTTTAACATATACATGTTTACCACAAGGAGGTTAATGTGAGTAGCTCATATTCTTAGAGCACCATATAATGAATATTTTGTCAAGACCATATTGATTACTGCTGACCCAGATAGACTTCATTAGCTGCATTTCTGTTAATACATTGTGAGGAAATGTGGTTTGAATCCCCAGTACCTTCTATAGAACCTACTGAACTAAACTGAACTTCCTGAGTAAAATGTCTTGTTAAATTGAAATATCACCTTACCTGTTGTTGAAAAAGTGGCAAACGGTTCATATCCAGAACCTTAACTGTTTCTGTTCACACCAGCTGCGGATCAAATAGTCTCTGTTGGAGACTTTTGTAGGAACTGTCTGACCTCTTCACCTTTCTTCCTCTGACATTTCAAGCTCAGCTCTTTTCTGCTCTGTACTGCTGTGCTCTGAACTGATTTCTCCTGTGCTCACTGCACCTCCTGTCCTCTGGTTTCCCCTCTTTTTCTATCTTTTCTTCTCCTCTACTCTCTCCTCTTCTCTCCGACAGCAATCAGAGTGACAGCCTTTCATACAGCCAAGCCTCCAGATGCAAATGACAAAAATAGCTTCAGATGTCCTCACAGGTCTGGAGACAGACGACAATGACTGATGCAAAATGACAAAATAGGAATATGACATTGTTTTGAAGTCTTTTGTTTATCTTGAGGAACATCTGTATTAAAGTCTCACATATAAATAATCTGCTTAATCATCAACTGGAAAAGTTCCGTTTGCTTAGTTTGTTCTGCTTTGTTCTTTGAGATGTACAGCAACTTCACTGCAGCACTGTTGACGTTTAGCTCAGTCAATAAAGCTTACTGTAGTGTTGTTGCACCGCTCTTCCTGGGGTGTAAGTGTGACTCAGTTAGGTTCTAAAAATGTTTTGTGCTGGCTGGCCTCTTCAAAATACATGGACCTACACACTTTGAGAGTTTTCTGCTTATAAACATTTACTATAATCATATTGCAATTTTTAAAATTATATGATTTCGTCTTCCTTCAACTTTTACCACCATAACATATACGGTAAACAATTAACAAAACAAAACAAAGTAAGAAAGTAATGAGAGAAATGCAAAGTTTTGCACTGCTATAAAGGTTGTTCATGAATCAGTTTCTCCAGGATTTTGTCTTTAAAACAGTTGAAGCTCATTGAAATACTAAAATAGTTTGAATACGTTTGTGAGTTCAACTGGTCTCATTAAACAAACTTTCATGCATAAAGTATTCTATGCTGCAAAGCTAACCTAACTAGTTCACTAAAACCAGGCCTCTACTAAGTAGCAAATAAAGTTGTGTACAGTGTTAACACAGTGTTTTGGTCACACAAACAACCATTAAGCATGTGTTTCTTGAAGACTGATTTATGCATTTATGATGTTTTGTATTTTTTCTTATCTCAGTAATCCTTGTGACCACAGCAAACATTACATGTAACAATTGTAACAAATGCTCCAGATTACTCATATTAAGTATATTAATTGTAATAAGACCACAACAATTACTTTCTTTCACTCATTTCACTGTATGCTACTTGCTTTAACATGCTAAAGAGGCATTTCAAAATAACACAACTCTTAGATGAAAAGTAAGTCATGCAGGAGTTAGAAAGTGCAGAACCCACCACAGAACAGAGAAACATTGATAACATAAAAAAAATATAAAAATTCAATTCAATTAAAAATACTTTATTTGGTCATTTAGCATAACACATAAAAGAGAGAGTTGAAATACACAAGTGTTTGTGGAAGTGGCCAATCTGAAGCTGGCTAACAATATTAAACACCATGAAGGCACATTATGTCTACAGACACTTTATCAGTGTGAATGTTAATACAACTGTAAGATTCAACCCTATTAAACATCCATTAAGGCCTGTAGTATCTCCTCCATCTCACACTCTTCTTACACTGTTACCCTGGTGACAGCTGAAGATAAGCTATCATTGCAATTGTACATTGGCTGTTTACAAAGAGGCTTAGATATTTAAATGCAGTGCAAGGTTACTGGACCCAGAGTTTTCAGTAAAAGGCTTCAATAAGCACAAAGAGTTAGTTTTGTTTTCAAGGAGCTGTTTCTTTACTGCAAAGCCAGTTTCAATTATTGCTTAATGCAAAGTGTTTCTTTCTGTATTATTGTCAAATAAGCATGTATGTTTCTCTTTCGGTGAATAATCATAATTGTATTTCCTGACTGGTTTTGTTTCCTTTAGGTAACATCAGGAACACAGAACGCCTGAGCTATGATAAGCAGCAGAGCTACAAGATTATGGTGACGGCCTTTGACTGTGGTCAGAAGAGAGCAAAGGAGGATGTGGCTGTGCATATTGATGTCAAACCTATCTGCAAACCTGGATGGCAAGGTCAGAGATAAAAAAAAAAAGCCACTGAAATGCTTTCAAAATACCTTCATTTACCTTGCAATAATTGACAGAAATGTACTTATTACTATTTTGGTATAAAGCGCACTGGTATATTGTTTAAACACGCTTAAAAGTAAAGCAGTACCATTAAAACTGAAGCAGATGGTATAGTGCAATTTTTGAGAATATCCTTTCCCTCGAGGGAATTCTATCTCATTTTAGAATGAACGTCTCTCGAGGAAATCAGAAGACCTGACAAAAACCTCCAGAGGGAAAGCTGACTGGAGTGTGTGTTTTTTCCCCTCCTTTAACATGCTAGCAGCTTGGCATTCGAGGCAGCCCGTCTCCCCTGCTGCTTCACCTGTCAGCAGCTGACAGCATCTCAGGAGTCAAGCTCACACAAGAATGAAAGCGGAAGACAGAGGAAAGATGAGAGGGGAGAGGGGAAAAGGAGGAAGAAAGAGATCAAGAAAGAATGAATGGGCAACTCAAGGGAGGAAACAGAGAAACAAAGTTGAAGGAGAGAGGAAATCACAGATCTGGGTAGAGATAAATGACCTAACCAGGATGTATGTTACTGAGTTTGATGTAATTAGTAAAGTCCCAGTCTACTTCAAAGCGATGGTTTTATTATCTAAATGCACATATCTTAAACATAAGTAAGTAATGCTGTTTTTAAACCCATGACCAGGTCCCCTCAGCGGTTTTATTAATTCCCATCATATTCTTGTAACGCACCAATGATTGACTCCCCATTCTTCATAAACCAAATTGTTCTTTGCCAGTTTCTAATTACACTGAAACTCATGTGGATGGTATATCATTTTCTAGAATAATTTTTGGGCACTTGAAGCCTTTGTTAAACAGGAAGTTTCGTGTCTACGACCCGTGCCTTATTTGAACACAAGTGTCACTGAAGAACCCTTCTGTTATCGAATTGGCGCTATACAATACAAGATTGAATGAAATCTTCCGAATTGAACTCGCGCTTACGGACCGCAGATGGACAGGAAAACCTGAGAAGAGAGACTTGCAAGAAATGTTGCAGGCTACAAGGGCTCTCCATGTGGAGGATGTATAAAAACCTCTACAGAGTTAGTTTATGTGACAAACTCTGACCTAGGAATGACCTCAGCTAGTCCGCAGAAGTACAAGTTAATCTAACATGGAGATAGTGGCAGCTGAAGAGGGGATTACATGCAGCAAAGGCCACAGGATCAATTTGAACCCAATGCCACTGCAGCAAGGACTCAGGCTTGGTACATGGGATGCCAGCTATACCTGGTGAGCTATCTAGGTGGCCCAAAGTGTGTTAAGTTTTGCCAAAAAACGTGGAAAAGAGATGCGGTGTGACTTGGAGTTAGAAGAATTAGCCGTATTGTTTGCAGCAATGCATGACAATTATATTGTTGTGCATTAAAATAACTGATTTCACCTCTTCGTCATCCTTTATTTTCCTCCTTTATATCAAATATCACAATAAGACCTCATGTGCACTCACCATGACATTCATCAAAGTTGTTGCAGCCATTTTTAGATAAAATAGTGACTACCTTTTGTTTAGAGTAGCTCAGACTGTTGACTTGAACATATAAGATTCAAGTACTGTATTTTCCATGGCCCAGTATAAATGTTCATCATGATTTTGATGGACGTTTTTTTAGCTGCTCTGAAAATACTTGCTATTTTGTTCTATGATAAGAGAAGATAATTTTTGTAAAAATTACATCTGAGCCTAATGTTTCGGACAAGATCCATTAATGCAAAGAGTGCACAATGAAAATGATGTGAATGCCAGTTGTTTAGAATTTAGGGACAGTGACTGAGGGAAATGTCAGTGCATATTACAGAGGGCTGGAGGTGCAGAGAGCGTATGAGTCAGTACAGTGTTGAGAAAGTCTGAGATGGCATTAAAACTGTAATGTAAATGTCAACTTTATATGCTCTAGAGAACTGAGGGGCCAATGATTTTAGCACAGTAGAATTTAAGAATAGAAGGCACATGATTATGATTCTAAACATACTGATTTACAAACATAAAACAAACAAAATGACAACAAAATATCAGCTGGATCTTCCTCTTGCCAATAGGGGAAAAAAATACTATAATTTTTGAGATCCAGATGGGCACACAGCGTTACAGTCACGCTGCATTTGAATCACAAAGAAACACTCTCATACACTGCTAACATCCTCATCAATGCTGCATGATTCTTTGTGATTTGGCTCATAAAAGAGGCCGTACTGCATAATCCTGTTGTGACACCATTAACCCGTAGTATCTTAAATCTATGAATAAAACAACAAAGATGCATTCAAACATAAAGTTGTTTGTCCACGCAACCTTATTTATTGTCTGTGTGTAAAGGTCAGCAGTGCTCCTGCAGCTAGCTTTTGAAGAAGGCCCCTTGGCATAAATAGAGGCTAAACACGTCTCACTCCACCTCACCTCTCACTCCTCCTCACTCCTACCTGATCACAGCCAGTTTCTCTCTTTGTGAATGTTTGTCTCCGGAGATTTGATATCATATTCTGTAGGCTTGGCAAGAGCTGCCAGGTGTCCACCTACACGCACACAGGCATGTTCGCACACACTCGTTCCTGTCCACAATCATGCTTGTGAATCCCTTTCACCAACGCAATTCAGGCATTCTCGAACATTGAGGATACATATAACACCTGGGTAATGAAAATATAACACCTGGCAACAGGATTGACAGTTACAACGAGGTCAGTGCCCCTTTCTACCGAGCTTGTCATGTTACTGGGCTACAGGGCAAGATTTCACTGAGAAAATTCAAAGCTCCAAAGTTGCCGACCTGTGTGGTTGCCTGTCGTTCTTTCAAGACCCACATGCTCATTATGAAACCACCTACAGTAGAACACAAAGTTTTATTTCATACATTTCTCTGGACTGCTAATGATGCTAAAAATGTCGAAGAAAAGACAGCAAGATTAGCAACAAGCGATATGTGGGTACTACAGTGAGCAAGCTTTAAAGAAATGAATACAGTGAAATAGGTAGCAATAGATAGTTCACTCAGTTTTATGACACAAAAATCTCACAGAAGTAAAATGAGGCTTATCCTTAAACAAACTTTAACCTCACAATGATAATGATATTAGACAAAGACCAAAGCCGGCTCCACACACAGTGTCACCATAGTGAAAGGTTAGTGGTGAACCTGTAGTTGCTTTAGAGAAGATGAATACCAAAAACAG